AACTCTGTTTTCTCCTCCACAGATGCTGCCAGACCCGCTGAGCTTTTCCAGCAACTTTGTTTTTGGGTCAACTACAATCTCATTGAACAGAGGAAGACTTTCAAGGGGCTGAGCTCCTACTCCAATGACCTTGATAAAATTACACCATTTACTCTTGAATTACAATTTTATTGACCAAATCCTCACATATATCCTAATTGCAAAATGAGACATTCAATGTAAATTGTCGGAAATGAAGAAAGGACTGTAAATTCACTATCATGAATTTAACACTAACATGCACTAAAATTAGCCATTCTGAATATCTTAGCTGGCTATTAAGGATTAAATAACTACCATTTCTAGAATATGTGATGGCTGCTGCATTAATGCAGTAAAACTAACCATGACTGGTAATAAGTAAATGCCTTTATCATTAACAGGAAAGAGATAAAAAAGATGGGAGATTGGAGTTTTTTGGAAAAACTCCTTGATGAAGTACAGGAACATTCGACAGTGATTGGGAAGATTTGGCTCACTGTGCTCTTCATATTTCGGATTCTGATCCTGGGCACAGCCGCAGAGTATGTGTGGGATGATGAGCAGTCGGATTTTGATTGCAATACAGCGCAGCCAGGTTGTGAGAATGTTTGCTACGACAAGGCTTTTCCAATCTCACACGTCCGCTACTGGGTGTTGCAAATCCTCTTTGTGTCAACACCAACACTTATCTACTTGGGCCATGTGATACACATATCAAGGCAAGAGGTAAAACTGAAGCAGCGAGAGGAGACACTGAGGTCCCTGCAGAACAAAGACAGCGAAACTGAATACATTTTGAAAGAGATTGAAAAAAAGAAGTTAAAGTATGCCATTGATGAAAGAGGAAAGGTCGAAATTAGGGGAGCACTATTGTGCACCTACACACTCAGCATTATCTTCAAGATGACATTTGAACTGAGCTTTCTACTAGGTCAGTGGTATTTATATGGCTTTGTGATGCCTGCCATTTATGTCTGTCGAAGAATTCCCTGTCCACATCAGGTAGATTGTTTTATATCCCGTCCTACAGAGAAGACCATCTTCATTTTATTTATGTTTGTGGTAGGTCTGATATCACTGCTGCTGAACCTTATGGAAATGTTCCACCTCATTGGCAAGTGTATTTTTAGAAACATTCAGAGCAATTCCAAGAAACAGCTTTATCCAAAATTGTCTAAATTTCCAGGAGGTCCCTACATTGAAAAGGAGTCAGTACCAGTACAGTACATGTACCCATCCATGGAACAGACTCATGGACCTTACCAGAGTTGCAACAAGTCATCGACTCAGCAGAATTGGACAAACTATACTACAGAGCAGATATTAGCAGGCCAAAAGGTGAATTCCACACCACCAGGACCTTTGCCATCATTTAACTTCTTGAGTGATGTCCCTGATAAAGTAGACCAAAGCTCAGTTCAACAGCAAAGGCCTATTAGTCCAGTCAGCAGTGTGAGCAGTCGGAGAAGGGAAACTGATGTTGCAATCTAATTTCGAATGAACATCAAGTTCTGAATGAGCAATATTTAAGAATGGTTATGTTTGACAAATGAGTTTGCAGGATTTCAGACATAGCCTATGAGCAAAGTTGAATGATATCCAATATGGATTTCAACACATTTGACATGATTTAGGTACTGTACTAAGATGGATGCCACTGTGCTGAATAATGGACAAGTACATGTCTCTGAGTCAATCACTGTATGGAGTTATTACTAAACTTGTAATTTATTTACTACTTACTGTGAGATTTCCTATTTCTTGGTTAATATTTTGTGATTGAACTATGCCATTGGACTGAATGAAACCTTTTTAGAAGCCTTTCTTTGCTATTTTGTGGAAATGCTCAAGTGAGTTGGTGCCAGGCCAATGCCAGTGATGTTCTATAACCAATCAGCAGGAAGTATGCAAGAAAGGGTTTGAATGAGTTGCTCTTGGAGTTCATTTTTCTATCACCCTCCCCTCAGCTCCCTCCACATAACATTAATAATCTTACATTTAGAAGTCAAAGCACTTCAAAAAAATCAAGGGAAAACTCAACTTTCAGTAAGGATTAGTTACTAATTAATAAAAAAGGTGATAGTTAATGACATAAAACACAGCTTGGTACAAATACGTTGTATTTATTAAAACCTCCCCCAGAATGATAAATGATGTGTCATTGAGTCATAGAGATATACAGCACTGAAACAGATCCTTCGGTCCAACTTGTCCATGCCAACCAGATATCCTGTATAAATCTAGCCCGATTTTCCAGCATTTGGTCCATATCCCTCTGAACCCTTCCTCTTCATATAACCCATCCAGATGCCTTTTAAAATGTTGTAATTGTACCAGCCTCCACCACTTCCTCTGGCAGCTCATTCCATACATGCACTCACCCTCTGCCTGAAGAAGTTGCCCCTTAGGTCCCTTTTAAATCTTTCCCCTCTCACCTTAAACCTATGCCATCCAGTTTTGGACTCTCCTACCCCGGGGAAAAGACTTTGCCTGTTTACCCTATCAATGCCTCTCATGATTTTATAAACCTCTATGAGGTCCCCTCAGCCTCTGATGCTTCAGGGAAAATAGCCCCAGCTTATTCAGCCTCTCCCTATAGCTCAAACCCTTTCTAGTTTCACAACATCCTTTCTATAGCAGGGAGACCAGAATCAATGTAATGTCTTAGCACATCCAACCAAGACACAAACTAGATTTTCTATTCAATGACAGTGAATGTGTGGAAATCAAATAACACAACCTGTTCATTTTTCAAATTAAAGAATTCTTCAATGTATCCAAAATCTGAAAAAGAACAGCAGTCAGTGTAAAAGTGACATTGTTTCAGTTGTTTCATAATTCACTTTGCTTTTAACTTCAGTAATAATGGATTGGGATAAACTGGCTAAAAGCACCACAAACAGTTAGAGCAAGCATTCAGCATCTTACAGCAATCACCTTTCTCAGAACTTAAATGTTAGATTTTGTGTGTCCTGTATTTGGCAGCCAGTTCTGTGTGAATTGTTCCACTTCATTGGACAGGGTTTTACGATAACAGTGCAGTTACAGACTCTACTCCACAATCTCATGCTGTTAGTGATTACTGTCATACATGAAAATTAATAATTAAGGAGGCATACTTATTTAGGTTCATTGAGAAATAAACTACAATTGATGACTAAGATACAGTGTATTCTGTAGATGGTGTAATAACTATGTAACTTACAACATAGACATCTAAAAGTAAAGCATGTACAAGTCACTTTCAATCTTTTTTCACACGTGACGAGACAGTGGGTGTCATGTATTAGAGATCAAGACAACAGTTCAAGGAAAGTGAAAGTTTCAAAGACCTGAAATAAAATGGAGTTACCGTACAGTAATTCAAAAACAAAAGGTTGTCAACTTTTAATAATTGATCCTTCCCTTGCCCAGTCCCAATCTATCTTCTAAAACCTGCCTGGTGATCTCTGGTTATTAATATGACCAGCATTGAGTAAATGTTGCTTGAAGTCTTTCCCTAGAATTCCAAATACGTGCTCGTCCTCTTTCTCTGCATCCTGATGTTGAAATCAGAACTCCTTGCAATGGTTTCATTCATGCGCAAATCAAAACAGTGGAACATCTTAGCTCCTTGAGACGTCCTACCTCCTGCAATTTTCATTATTTTCCTCATTAGCCGTGGTCATCAATTGCCGAGTTATCTCATTTCTTTCAAATGTGGTGATGCACCATCTCATGTTGACTTCGCAATAGTAGGTTTTCAAATCCTTACTAAATATGGGAATATTCTATTCTGTAACCTCTAGGTAGTGATCTTCAATATTATGAAATAGAATTGAAAGAAGGAATTGGAATCATCACACCACACTCCTTAAGAAGTTACCACACCTTGCTCATTATTTGTAGTTTTATTTGCCACATTATTTCAATTTGAAAATACCACCACAGGCCTCAAGACATCATTGGAAGTTCTATTGTGAAGGTATATTGTAAGATGCAAAAGCAAATTGCACACCAGCACTTTTCACAGCCAAGTGTTGCCCTACTTTTAACTCATGCTATTGCATTGTTAGCCAGCATTGTATTCTCTCCAATAGATACTCCATGAGCAAAATAAAGCAAAATGACGTAAACTCCAACGGCCAACCTTGAAGAGTGAAGGACGCTGAAACAGGACATCAAGAATTAAAAACAGCTGTGAGTGTGATCATAGTTTTGAAATCTGAGCTCACACTTGAGAAAGTTGCTCATGACCTTCCTAGGTAAATTTAGCTCATTGCGATAGTAACAAAATCCCAGCTGTTTCTCAGAAATGTGAGAACTGAAGGAAAGTACACAATTAACTCTGTAAATAATCAATTAGATGAAATATTTGTTAAAGTGTATTGTACAAGGTGAATTTTGTGTTACTTCTTGATGCCATTTGAACTGCTGACTGAAATAAATTTTTATATATTGAATTCTAATCATGCAATTTCTGCAGTTTATTTATCTGGTTTCCTCGCCAAAAATTGCTTTTTGTCTATGGATTTTATTTCAAAGCTGAGCAACAGGTCTCCTCACTGGAGTCAACATCTGTACACATAGATCTGTGTTTGACAGTGACACACTGGTATGGTCCCAAGGACTGACCAGTGATGAGTATACACACATTTTTCTTTAGTCCGCTGTGGGACTTGGCACTTCAATTTCAGCTAGCTCAATAAAAAAAGGAAATTGCACTTTTACTTACGTCCGACATCTTAAAGGGCTTTACATCTAATGATGTACTCTCAAAATATTGTCCTTCTTGTCGTGAATTTGTGCACAGCAAATATCCACAAACAATAATGAGTTAATGGCCTCTCTCGAGAAAGTTGCTTATGAACCTCCTGAAATTAAATTTAACTCATTGCGATACTGACCAAACCCTAGCAGTTTCTCAGAAATGTGAGAACTGGAGGAAAGCACACAATTCACTCTGTAAATAATCAATTAGATGGAATATTTGTTAAAGTGATTAACAAGTTCTGGTAACAAGCTTTGTTTTCTCTGTGATGTTGATTGAGGGCGAAATGTCCTGAAAATGATGCCAAAGGATCATTTGCATCCATCCAAAGGAGACAGGTGGGGAGCTCAGGTTAACATCCCATCAAAAAGTTGGCAGCTCCTAAAGTGCAGCACTAACTCAACATTTCACTGGAGCTTCAGCCTTCACTTCAGTGCTGATGCCCTACAGTGGAACTTAAACCTGGATCTTTGTGATTCAGAGACATGAGTGCTACCATTTGAACCACGGTTGACACTTGTGGATTGAAGTTTTTCTGATAGTTGTAAAAATGACATGTACATGAATTGAGTTTATGCCAATGTCAGAGCAGTCCCAGGAAGATGTGATCCCACGACTTAAAATTCCCTGTTATTTGGCAGCCTCACTCACGTATCAATGTTCTCGGTTATTTCTGAGTTAATCTGACCACAATCTGTTCAAAATTTTTAACCTGGACATTGATATCAACAATAAATTAGAGTTTCAAAATCCTCTACACTCAAAGAAGGAATCTTACTGAAGCAAATATTAACAAGAGTAAAAGATTGAAAAAAGGCTATTTTAACATTAGCCAGAGAAATCCCCATTTGTTATGGTTTCTTTCATGATTCCTGAATTCTAGCCTTTACTTCCCCAACCACCACTATTTAAAAAATACTATCTGTTTGTTATCAAAACACTTTTGTGGGATCTTGCTATGTATGAATTGGCTCTTCCTACACAAATATAATTACTACACTTCAAAAAAGACCTCATTAGCTGCAAAGACCTTTGGGATGTCCTGAGGTAGTGAAAGACTCTATATAAATGCAAGTTCTTCCTTTTCATCCTTTACCAACAGGGCCATTCTAAGTGTTGATAATTTTAAGGAAAACATTGCATCAGTCCCAACCATAAAATTTCACTCTCTTGACTTAATATTAGTTGAGTTTGAAGTCATTTTGTAAAGACATTTTTCCATTTTACAGGATCAACTCAATACGGTTGCCTTTCAAGGCATGAGGTCCATGTTTCTTCAGTTCCTTCCTTTGTGGCATTTGCTTTTTAATTCTTTCATGGGACGAGAATGTCACTGTCAAGGTCAACATTCCTTGTTCATATTTATTTGCCTTTGAAAAGCTGGTGGTGAAACTCCTTGAAATGCTACAGCCCCTGTAGTGTAGGTACATCACTGTGCTGTTTGAGAGGGGTTTCCAGATTTTTGGGCCAGTGACACTGAAGGAACAGCAATATGGAGAGACAGACTGTCTTTAAGAGCAGGGGGCTAGATGGGACATGTTGACTTTGCATACAGTTGGGTTAACTGTTGAATGTGCAGCCAGCAGTGCATCATTCTGCATGCCAAAATCATTCAAACAAGGAGGCACTGTGATTCTCAATTGTGGCCTGCAACAAGGGAAATGGGGCAGGCAGATTGCAAGATGCAACTCATGCACTCACAAGTGGGCACTAACCCAATTTATAGCCACAACAGTACCACATCACAGCATTTTCAACGTCACGTGGGAAATAGCTTCCTCAATACAGTGAGGAGGTTGGCCATGCCATCTTCTTTTCTGCCACCCTCTGCTCCAACACTATTTTCTCACCACTACCTACGTGACCATCAGTGACAAAGCTTGTGCTAGCACAGATCTACTGTGCAGAATTCCCATCCTGAGTCCTATTGGCTTGCTACATTTTGCTAATCTTCAGAAGTCTCTTGAAAGTATAATCCTTTGGCCTTACTTTCATATATGTTACATTACTCTTCCTAATCCTACCGCTGTAAAGAAACTTGCTAAATAAACACATTGACCAAATATACATAATGTTACAACAAGTTACATTTTCTTTATTGGATTAATCCAATTGATAGAACTTGTGTCTGATGATTCACAATATGAAGGTAATGTGCCATTTGAGAAGACCCAGTAGAAAGATTGGCCCTTGTTTGTAATGATTTTTGTTACTTTTATGTCAGTTTTAGGATAATGGATCTCTTTCTTTTCTGTAGGCAGCTTCTGACATTCATTAATGATAGGGATCATCTCTTGACATGTTGTGGGCTAAAAATCAGGGTTACACTTTTATTGCCCTAGATTTGTACAATCATAGATTGCTTAAACAGAAGGAGGAAGTTCTGGCCTGTCAGTAAAATGCCAACTCTTTGTAAAACCTCCTTTCCCCTTGTATGAAATTTATTTGTGAAGGATGGAATGCTCATTC